GCGCGAGAGCCTGTCTTAATTTATTTTCTCTGCTTATGCTTATAGTTGGGTTTTTATTTCTTGGCGCGTGAGAGCCTGTCTTTACGATGGGTATCTCACGGCATTTCGTGTCTGTCTCGGGCATGCCCCTATAGATGTCGCATGATCGCCAGCACTGTTCGATACGGTGGCGATCATGCGAAATCTAACGGTACGACCGAGAAAGACGCGAAATGCCGTGGGAAATGTGAAGACAGGTTCTCACCCCCCAAGAAATACAAATTCAAGATGATTAGATGCCGCGCTATTTACTTAAGTGATTTTCTCTTTATCCCAGGAGAAACTTTAATCCAAAAATGTTGGACGATATTTTAGAAACGTTGTTGAAGCGTTATTTGAAGTATCCCTAAATATCAAAATATCCATTGCAAACTTCTAGGCTCTCGAGTTCGTTCAGTTGGATCGGGGAATACCAATTTTGGAGCAAATTGAACGGTTTAGTTGCTGACGGGCAGATAGATGTCTTGGTGTCAATCGATTTTTCGATAACAAGAACCTTCAAAACATGGATTCTGATTACACAATGTGTTACTGGAGGTAATTTAGTACTTCCAGGAACAAGATTTATCCATTTTTGTCGTTACCAAGGCCCGTCAATAAATGTTTTCTCTCAAAATCTCCGTTTTTCCCGCAGCATTACAACACTTTCTTTACACTGTGTAAACAGCAAGGGAGAGAGTAATAATCATGTAAAAATCTCGGTAAATATGAGTTTAAATTACATTTTCCGAAACTTGCTCAACCCAGTGCTTACTGTGAATAGTTATTGTTTTATTCCAGAGTTTGCGAACCTCCCTCATTTCATTAGTCATCGAGACAGTTCTGAACGATATGAAACAATGCTTTTGTGGTTTTCTATTTTCCGTATGGTGAATACGAAGAAGTTTTCTGACTACTCTACAGCGATATCCCACACACATAACATTTTTGGCGTTATTCCTTGTAGCTCTATATTTCATAATATATCACAATTCCAAAGCCTTTATTCAATCGCATTGATTCTTGTGGCTTATGTATGTTCTACTTCATTCAATTGAACGTTTTGCATTAAACTTCATTCAATTAATGATGTCATGAACTTCTGTACTTCAGACAAATTATTTAGTTATAACTCTAAGCGAAAGAAAAGTTTTTCTATGACGTGCATTTCCATAGTTTTAAATAATAGTAATTTCCTAAAAACTAATCTCAGCACAAAAATGCAGGAATTACAAAACTAATTATCTTTTACTGTTTTACGTTTTAGGTCCATAAAACTGTGGGTTATTGCCCACAGTTCGATGCTCTAATTGACGTAATGACTGTTAGAGAAACACTTCGAATGTATCTTTTGCTGAGAGGATACCCCTACAAAGTGATATCGAGAGAAACAAGAAATATATCAAAGAATTTGAAGTTGAGAGAACACTTGGATAAAAAAGTTAAGGATTGCAGGTAAGTAATGAAATCATTAATTAACGATTAAACGTAATGGATAATCAAACAATGAACACACGTACATCAAGTTTCTCTTGCATATCGGCGCAAGACTATGATTCCAGATTTTGTAGACGAATCTATTGTTAGCTACAGATTTCTTATTCTTATGATGCAAACCTCTCGAGGGCAATATATTTATTATTTATAAGATTTGAATTTATGTAGGAAACCATGCTTTCAAGTACGTTCATACGTATTGACTAAATACGTTAAAAGTATGGACTAACTCGTGGTGGTCCAACAGTACATTCCTATTCGCATTATTTGCAACTGAACGCATTATTCCGCCACATCATGCAGGCAAGCAAGAATAATTTCACACACACATTGTACGCAGCAATTGTAAAACATCATCCGGAAGCAATTCAAATAAGGGATACAAACACTTTTAGAAGAACTTAAGAGTCAGAAAGATACGTACACGAAAGAACAATAGAACATGGGCAACTGATGTAAGTAGCCTTCTAAACAAGTTGGAATTTCGGCAAAGCAGGTGAATCAGAGTGCAATGACCTTTGGAGGACGCGGCGATTTCAAAAGCAAAGTTTTCGGAACCTTGGGAAAGTGCCAAATTAGAATAAATTTAACGAAAATATAAAAGATTCCAAAAGACATCGGTGACAGATGAAAGATAGCGTGGTTGTTTCATTGAAAAACAGTAGAAAGATAGACTAATTGAGGAAAACCGAGGGGGGATAGATGCTGAGTCGACTGCATGGTGGAGCATGTGCTGGCAATTTTCGTGTTTCGGTGAGAGTGGAATCAGTTATCGGTGAGAAGGCGTGTGTTGGAGTATGCTGACTTCAGTCAATAGGTAGTTGGGATTCAATGAAAGTACTGAATTTAGAAGGTTTTACGTAAGAATGCATAGGAAGTATGGTAATGTGGTAATGGTGAGCCCAGCTGAAGGAATGGTGTGGTTAAATGATCAATGGAACGAATTCACTGCCTGACATCATCATATTCAGGGAAGTGGACATCCCCAGATATTACCTCGCACGTACAGACTGTTTATTTATGAGAAAGCCAAGCATTGTAATAAATTTGGTAGACACCCTGAAATAACGTGGATGACCTTCAAATTAATAACGTGCAGAGGATGAATGAGAATTGTGTAAATACTTTTTGTTATTAAGTGTGAATGTGAAGTTAGATTCTTTGCTATTGTGTTAAAGAGTATTTCTGGTTTTGTGTTGTGATTTTTATCGGATGCGTCACACAGGTGCAAATTAACGGTACCATTGATCACGGTGCTGAATATATTTGAATGATGTCTTTGTTTATTGTTTTGTAGATACAGAAAGGTAAATTTTCCTCCCATCACCAATAAAATAATGATAAATATCATTTCCCCAACCTGTACAGGGAGGACAGTCTCACGACCCTAATACAAATTTTTCCAGTGGCAATGCCGCTGGAAACAGGATATCAAGTAAAATAAACAGTAAATGTAAAAATAATTATAATAATGACAAGAGCCCGACAAGACGGTCATATATATATACATA